TACATTGATAATCAAGAACACCTGCAAGTCCCATAGAAAACAAATTGCAGTACTTATTACAGCCGACAGAATTTCCGTGTACATTAACTTAACAGCCTATGATGAGTCGAGAAAGTGGATCAGATGCAAAGATTCAGGACCGTTAGTTGAACTGCAGTCCAGATTAGATGAAATTACTTTTTGGAAAGAAAGATTAGGTGAAATCCGATGAGAACATGAGGCATATTCATAGCATTGTGGAAAATTTTGACTATCCGTACTTTTTCACATTAAGCGAAATAGGTTATATACGGCTATTATAGAAGATCTGTTGATAGTAGTGAAAATCTACTTGTTAACGGGAAATAAGTAATGTATATGATTTGTGTTCATCCTAATTCGTTTAAGGTAATGAAGGACTGGTGGTTGATGTTTTTCACAATGATATGAATATACCTGATGTTTTCCATTGAATTTCACATAGTATTGCTTTCCCCAATTGTGTTCTCATACAGTGTGGACTGCAGTTTGGATTTCCCATAAGCCTTATCAACACCTCAAGTGAGAGTCGAACCATGACATGTTAACCACTACGCCACATTGCCACGAGTGCCCTTGGGTCACAGGTCAGATGTGAAATTCAAGGAATTTCAGGCATTTTCCATATCGCATTCTCTGTTGGGGTTGTCGATGAAGCTAACTTATATATGCTATAACAATAAACGGCATTACTTTATTCGTAAATGAGTAGGTCTTCGAGACTTCTAGTAAATCACAATCTCGAAAGCATACTCATTTACGATAAAAATAAATAATTTAAGGTATGAAGACGAAGATGGTATGGCCTCTTTGTGGCCGCAGTCTCTTTTCGTGTATAGAGGTTGTTTGACCTTGTTTTCGCAGCATGGTCGAATTGGTAGGAAGACTTATTGGAACGCGCCTAGTCCAGGGACCATTGTCTTCATGATCATTTCCAAAGTTGAACTGTGAACGTGGTACATTCCCAAACGTTTCGCCGGCATCGTAGTCGGCATCGTCAGTGAGTATCGCCATTCTTAGCACCACTTAACTCACTGACGATGCCAACTACGATGCCAGCGAAACGTTTGGGAATGTACCACGTCCACGGTTCAACTTTGTGAATGATCATACAGACAATGGACCCTGGACTAGGTGCGTTCCAATAAGTCCTCCTACCAATTCGACTATGTTGCGAAAACAAGGTCAAACAACCTCTAATAAATAATGTAGTCGATCGCTATAGCAAATACAACTTTGCAACATTAACAATCCCACCAAGGACTGTGATATGAGAAACAGCCTGGCCTTCCTTGGACTGCAGTCCACTCTGGATGATAATGTCTTTCGGAAAGTGTGGAGCCTATTCATGTCATTGTGAAAAAATTCATCTATTATACCTTCATCACCTTAAATAAAATAGGTTGAATACCACTTTTCTATAGAGAATTCTATTCTTGTTCTGTTTGCCTCACAAATGGGCTTGAATTTCATCAACCTACGCCTCACCTCTGCTTCAGTTAGATCCTTCTGAAGAATGGGATACACATGTCGAGCATGTCTGCCAACTCCGGTCAGATATTCAACAGACGCTTGTCCAGCCCATCCGCCCATCCCATCTTCCTGGTTGCCATCTGCCATATTCGCCATGGAGACAGGCGTCTGGCCCAATCGGTTTACTCGGAGGGCTGCTGTTGTAGCCTCCTGGGGCCAGCCAGCAAGACTGGCGTCTGCCGTCCTGATGGCCGAGGTGGCATTTGATGCTACAGCCGTTGGGCAAAGGCGAGACGCCTGGCGACAAGTCGCTTTGCGACCGGAGCCCAGGAGTCCAGGCCAACTGAGAATGCCAGAGGGCACCTGCTGGAAGGCGTTCAAGAAGCCGGTGGGATGCCGCAGTTGTTGTCCAGGCTTGGAGGTCGGCTCTCGCCCAATGCCCATTTCTGGTGACACCTTCAGAGGAACGTTAAGAGAGCCCAGACTGTTGATATCTAAGGGAGGAGGAGATAAGCGGAGATGAGATTGAGAAAATAGAGAGGAAGAAGAGTTTAAAAATCTTAAACTATGGCCTCGCCAGTTTGGCATTAATGAGCTTTTTGTAGGACGAATGAGATAAAGGCAAACTAAAACCTATGATTGAGTATAGCAAAAAGAATAAGTTAACTCACAATTCCGGTCGAAATTCAACATTTTTCTTCCTCCCACCGACTTAAAGTGACAAAAAATTGTCTGCATAGTAAGACGTGATGAAGTGAATTAATGTAATAACGAAACGCCAATATCAGCCTCAATATATCCTCTTGTAGGAAATGCAAGAAAGATCGAGAAAAGTAAACTTCACTACAGTAT